ATCTCGATTATGGCTCGAGCAAACGAGCTGATTTTTTTTATCAATGATAGAGGCATGTTCAAGCTTTATATTCACAAAGACAACCCTAGAGAGACCGTTCGTTAAGTATCACCAGTAATTTCAACAAAAAAAATTTTACTTTTTTGCAGATAGGAAAAAAACAATATACAAGGTGATGCGAAAGTCACTTTACCGAATAAAAATTGAATATATCCATTACGGCTCGAGCAAACGAGCTGATCTTTTCATTAGTGATAGAGACATGTTCAATCTTTATATACATACAGACATGCCTAGAGAGACACTTTGTTAAGTATATTGGTTTTTTCTCGTATCTGCAAAAAAGTAAAATCTTTTTTGTTGAAATTACTGGTGAGACTTAACGAATGGTCTCTCTAGGCTTGTCTTTGTGAATATAAAGGTTGAACATGTCTCTATCATTGATAAAAAAAATCAGCTCATCTGCTCGAGCCATAATCGAGATATTCCATTTTTTTTCGGTAAACTGACTTTTGTGCCACCCTGTAGAATATAGGATGCAATAGTAATCGGACAAAATGTCGAACTCTATTGCTCTTCAATAAAAAGATACTGAAAGAAAAGCGTTTTATCAAAAGATAGAACTTTTTCTCCTCCTCCGAACATTGTATGATTTATTTTTATCGCACATCCCTAAATGAAATGAGACAAGAAAAAAAAAACGAGAAACATTTGCAGAAGAAATTTATAATTTTTATATGAACTCATTAAAAAGATCTTGTCAAACGATGGTTATTTCGCAACTTTTATGAACTTGTTATAAACATCTTCTAAAACGACAGTTCGTTGTGTAATCAACTGTTGCCTACAAGATATTTTTAACGAACTCATATAAAAATTATTAATTTCTTGCGTGGATATTTCTCTTTTTTCTCGTCTTGTTTCACTTATTAATATATGACAAATCTGAATGATATACTGTTCGAAAGAGAAGAAAATTTTCTATCATTTGATAAAAAACTTTTCTTTCAGCATACTCTTTCTATCGAAGAGAAATAGGATCGGACATTTGTCTCATTACTGTTGTATCATATGTTTTATATATATTGTGACTGATTATAATCACGAATATTATTCTATATTTTTGATTGTTTCATCTAAGTGGCAATTCTTGAAATATTTCTTTTTAAGAATATAAAACTTTCAAGGTATCTCCAACTTATTATATTCTCTTTTCCTTTGTTTTTCTTTTTTTTTAATTTTGAAATTATATATAAAAAAACGATGAATATAACCTACTGAATGCAAATATTACAGTAAAAGAATTGAGTTCAAGAAGAATATTTTTTTCTCTCTTTCTTATATAAAACTGTGTAACTAGAGTAACAGTTAGTGTTGAAAGAATGAAAACCATTAGACAATTAAATAAAATAGAATTTTTTTTTAAATAATCTAGAAATGCGACAAAACGAATATTCTAACTGTGTTTAAAAAGATCTAATTCATTGTGTAGTTTATTTTGAATATCTACTTTTATATTGTTTAATATTTATTTATATGTTGAATAATATCTGTGAAAATTCTAACTAGAATCTTTCGAATGCCTTAATACTTGAACTTTATTGTATGAATACACTTTTATTTTGTTTTATCGAAGATTTTCTTTGATTGAACTTATTTTGTTCATTATCTTGTCTGAAATTTAGTCTAAATATGAAATACATACAAAAACTTTTTATATGATCTTTTAGATTATGACACAAAATGCAGAATCTTGCTGATATTGAACAGTTTGAATCGAATAAGAATATCTATATTTTATTTTATTTTAAACTTCGTTTAATATTAAAATGATAAATAAAATCTTTTTTCGTACTTTAAATTAGGAAAAGCAATGATTATCAATTAAAAGAAAATGACAAAATGATTTTCCATAGACTATTATATAAAAATAATTAAACAGACAAAATTTCTTTTGTAGAGAAATATTTCATCTGATTTTCATCTCTAAAAAAAAATATCTCTTAAAAAAAGAAAACATTTCATCAAATCTATTATTCATTTAATTGAAATATAAATAAAATTATCTTTGAAAAATAACTTTGATGACATCGCAGAAGATATGTTTAGTCATTTTTTATTATTATCTCGTATTTTATGTCTTTTATCTATTCTATGTGTTATCGATTGACAACGAACTTATTTTAATAAAAAATAAAATTTTATTTGTCAACATAATATACTTTGAAAATTGTTGGAAATCTTAATTTTTCAACTTAGACTTCATTTAAAAGTGTAATGTTCTTACTTATGACAGTTGTCAGATCACAACACATTTTGAAAAATATGTTTCACTATAGATATCGACTTTGCTCTCTATTCAAACTGTGAAACCATAAATTTATGAACTTTGCCGTCAAAAAATGAATCATCACTATGAGAAGAAATATCTAATTTATTTTCTAGCAAAAAACCCATGTCTATTACTCGATGAATTTGACAATAAGATAAATATAATTTATTTTTATTAGTTTTATCATTCCGTATCGGACTTGTTCGATAACAATATTCTTTGTTTCACTTACCGTTGATAGTTACTTCACTTGTCGGAAATTTTAGCTTTTGTTCAATAAGTTCAATGTGCAATATTCTTCTCTTGGAATGTTCTTTTTTCTTTACTTCAAGTAAAACTCTCCTAGAAGAAAGAAAAAAACAACTTTAATTATTCAAGTCATTTTTATTGTCATCAACAACGTTTAGTCTGTTCTATATAACTATGAAACACATTTTAGACTTATATTAAACGATTTAGAACTATATCGAATTCAAGTAAACAAGTCGTCTAATGACAACAGTGGATCAATATTCTAATAGAACTGTAACCAATTTTTTCGTCACTGAGAAATTGAAAAACACATCCAAGTGCGTTCAGATACTTTAAGGTGTTACATTTTAGATACATTATAGATAATAAACGCGTTCAAAAAAACTTTTTATAAAAACACTCGTACACGCGTTTTAAACAGCTGCAGTGTTTTAAACACACTTGTATATTGTACTTTGAACGTGAAGATACGTGTTATAAACCAAAAAATGGCTATATCTCTATGAAAGAAAACGTGTCAATTATAAATATATTTTTGACAAGAAACAAATAACAGATGATAAATGAAGATTTTCATGAACAAGGAAAACAGAAACAATTTTTTGTTGCCAATTACACAAATTTAAAAACATTTAACAAAAAATGAAAATTTTCTAAAGTAATTATTAAATAGAAGAAGTCTACAAATGAATTATTTAAACAATATAAATGAATCATTCATAATGACTATTCTTCCACTTGATTTTAATCAAACGAAACAAATAAAGTTTATCATTGTTAATCATATTAACTATTTGTTGTATCATCTATATATTTCAGAGAAACTTATTTAAAATAAAAGAAAAAACACGAGTTAAGATATGTTTCTTTCACACATCAATATCAATTAAATATAAAATCAATTGTTAAAGATTCTAACATTTAATCCTTTAATTGCATTGTGTTAATAGAATATTTTTGATTGATGATACTTAACTGATAGATCAATCTGATAAGAATAATCTCATCATATTCAAATAGTTTAGAAAGGAGTTAATTATATGAAAATAGTTTCTTCACTTGACTTATCTTTTAAAATTTCTTCTCTTTTTTTTTTATATGTTTAAGTTGTTCTATCAGTTCATCAATCAGGATAAAATTCGTCTGATAGACAGCAGGATTAATTTCAATATACAGTCACTCCTTCAAATATCTTCACGTCAATTATATGATAGTAAATCACACAAGTTAAAGAATATCGTTGCAACGATCTATATCAAATGTCGATCATCCATAGCGAAAATTCATTTTTGAACATACTATCGAACGAATACAGACTCTAGTTTAAGATTGGCTTTAAGTAAACGAAATTCATTTTATCTAAAATATCTTTCTCATAGAAATGAAGTTTCTTCTTCACTCTAAAACTAAAAATTATGCACATAATTTTTTATATACTTTTTATGTTAAAATTAATTTAGTGCGCTTATATCTCAAAGCATCCCAAAAAATTTCCATAAAATTTTTCTCATAATAATTTCATTTGAATATACTGGAAATAGAAACTTTCCATATCATAATCTGATCTATTGAATCAACACAGAATATATGAATTTATAAGTCGTAGAGACATTCTCAACGGAACTACAATATTTTCTTGAAGGAAACAAGAATGGACCATTAGTTTCCACACAATTCTACTATTGATAAAAAATAATATGATATTTTTTCTGTAGTAGTTTTCATATCCATACATTCATGTTCACAAATTTCTTGATGTATATTTATGTAAAAGAAAAAGCATACTATGGATATTGGTTTCTATTTTATCCATCATGAAACGATAAGAGAATCGAGAAAAACATATCCCTATTGCTCAGTCTTTGTACACTCCTTATATTCTTTAAATAAATCTCTCACGACACACAAACTTATCAAAATTCATCACTGATTCATTAAATTTTGATATCGATCGACTTTCATATTAACAATAGTTGAAAATTTAAAACAATTTTAGTAGAGATAAAAATGTTTTTTTTTTTTTGATAAATTTAAAGATGATTAGAAATAAAAAAATCTATTAATAGAAAAAAGTTCATCTGTTTTATTTTGATTAATGAGTTCGTATTGATAAGTAAATGAATATAACGATTTTTTTTTTCTCTTAAGAATAATCTTGACACAAAAACAAGTTATTCCATTAGTCGAAAAAATGTTTACATTTCGTGGTCGACACTAATGCATTCCATTTCATATAAGAAGTAGAAAAGATCGAACGAGAGAAAGAAAGAATAAGATAGAAAAAAAAGGGAGTGAGCAATACAAGCACGAAGGTCGATGACCGTCCTGTTTGTTCAAATGTATGTACACATTGTGGTCTGTTCGTTTTGACATTCTTCTTCTCTCTTCCTTCATCTTTTTTTTTTTTGTTTTAGTGATGGAAGTTTGCATGGTCAATCAAGAAAAAGAAATCGATCCTCTTTTAAATATGTTTCAAGAAAATTCTCAAGAAAGTAATTTTATTCTATTATTTCTTAATATAAATAATAATTTGATTTTGTTAAAATAAAAAATAGTTTATTCAAATGTTGATTATGATTGTTTACGAAAATATGATGAAAATAATAAATATTTTTCTATGGCAATTATCTTAGAAAATCAAGAAGGAGAACAACAACGACCTATTGGTTATGATTGTATTTATCGTTATGGAACACATCGAATTAAATTAGAATATTATATTGAAAGTCAAATTTGGAAAAAAATTCCTTTAGAATCTAATGAAGAACAAGAAAATATTTTAAATTCTTTATTTGATGATAATCATGATATTCGATCTCTATTTCAATCTTTTACTCTTGATCAACAAATTCAAATTATTACTAAACGATACGATAAACATTTTGCTGGTTCGTATTTTTTAATAGATTTTTTTAAAAACTTTCAAATAATAAGATATTACTACAAAAAAAAAAAGAACAAATCAAATTAATCTATCTGAACATTTTTTTCTTTTTGTTAAATGAATTGTCAAAATTGTATTTACTGAATAATTTTTCGTGTTCATTATTTGAATGATTTATTAATTTGTTTATCAATAAAAAAATTCATTAGAATTTTTTGTTTAGAAATTGATAGAATTAAAAATGAAAAAGAATATGAAAATAAAATATTATTATCTGCATCAATTTTTAAAGAAGAAAATCCAGTAAAATATGTAAATAATGATTTGATTGAATTATCTTTACATGAAACACCTAAATCATTAATTATTTGTGAAGATGATGAACAACAACAATCTCAAATTAATTTAGAAAAAGATTTTGTTGATTATGGTTTTCATTCATTAATAACTGGTTCTCGTTCAAAATTTAGTGGTTTAGCTCCACCACCAGTTGCACCACGTCGTAGTCGTCAAAACAGTGCCTTTTCACAATGTAGTGTTCGATATGCTTCGTAAGTCATTTATTTCTTTCTATTAGATTTTTAATGTTTATTTTTTAAAGATTTATTCCACCACCAACAGCACCTATTCGTCAACGACGTGTTATCGAATCGATTCTTTTACATGTTCAACGAAAGTAAAGGTTTTTGGAAGAGAATTTTCCTTTTGAATTTATTTTCTTTTTTGAAAGAAAAAAATTATTTGAAAAAATTGTTGATATACTAAAAGGAACAGAGCCACCAACAATGCGTCAATTAGGCTTAGAGTTTTTACGTGTTTATGATGGAAAATTTAATTATCGTGAAGGACATATAGTAAATTGTTCATTTTTTTTGTGAATATTAAATCTAAATATATATTATCATTTAGTTTTTTATATCGTTTCGAAAGAAGATTTGGCGTTTAACTATTGAAGAGATCAAATGTAAGTTCGTTTTAGTAAAAAGAAAAGTTTTTTCTTTCAAAAATAAAATTCTTTCTATATAGGTGTTGATTGTCCAGCGGGTGATATTGGACCACGATCTGTATTGATACTCAATTATAAAGGTCGCGATACGAATGTACATGTTTGATTATACAACTAAAAATTTGGAAAATTCTTATTCGAATAAAATTTAATATTTCTTTTTTTTTTGTTTTGTCTTGCTCCATTCAATTAAATATTCCTTTCTACATTAATAGAAAATAAATCAAACAAAATATCTCTTCTTTTTGTTTCAAATTAATAACCAATTATTTTATTTATTTATCATTGTTTTTTGAGCACATCGATTATCTTCGAAAACGGTTTTCTAAATATGTCAAATATTTGATTTTGAAATACAGATCATTTTATCAAAAATAGTTACAAATAACTTGTTTTTTTTGAGAATGACAAACTTAATAAAACCAATGTTATGTATCAAACTGATCAACAATTCACTTCGTATTTTGACCAATTATCAAAACAGTGCTACAATCACACTGAAGCATTAGTACAAGTAAAATAGAGTTTGTGTGAAAAATAAATAGAACATCTTTTCAACTCTTTCAAGGAAACTTCTTTTGTTAAACACAGTCAACTTCATCAACAATGGAAAATATAAATTTATTTGAAAACATCGTACAAAGTGCAGTCAACCTATTTATTGCTTTTCAGTCGCTTCGTTGCCGTGATAAATTCTTCCGCTTCTTCATCGTCTTCCATTGGACTCATGAGCCATGATTTAAGTCAGCCACTCATTCTCAATATCTGAGGGTTATTTCAAAAAAATCTTGCTGAGATGATCAGAATGTGACGAGTGCACAGCTGAAGTCCATTTCTCAAAATTCGGTCACATTCAGGAGATATAAATATGAAGAAAAACGATAATTAACAGTTGATAGTTTCCTTATATGACAATGCATGATTCAACTTAAAGCAACCATTGACATCTTAGAAACTATATGCATATATATTTTAATTTAATTATTGTCTTTTTGTAACTTAAATTCATCCGTGAAAGAATCTCGAATATTCGAGAAAGTCTGACCGTGGCAACTAAGCGCCTGAAAAATAAAACACCGACTAGTGCACTTCGTTCACTCAGCAGACTTTTCTACTCAAGCTTTGCTCGTGTGGCAGTCTAGTTCATTTTCTAGCCAAGGCTTTATCTTTACTTCTGTCAAGCTACTAAAAATTAACATGGTTTCATTTTTTAATTGCGCGTAATCTCATCACCGAAAGAAATCGAAAAGAATAATGTTGTTGCATACTTAGTTCTTATGCAGGAGTTATCAGGTAACTATCGTTAAGCAGTGTGTATACATAGGTTACTTTCAGCTCACGAAAGGAATTTTTTACGTTGTCTATATTGTGCTCAGGTTCGATACAGTAGGCTTGTATTCTGTACAGGACGTTTAAATCAACTAACAAATAGAAAGTAAGAAGAAAATTTAAATCAAATTGAATTATCCATTTATTCACTTAAACAAAGAGAATTAACAGAAAAATTCACAAAAACATCATTACATGTTTGGAGAAACAACGTTTAAGACATGATATAAACATCGTAAAGCATGGATGATGATATTATTTTTCTTGACCTAAAAATGAAAATATATATTTACAACAAACGAAAAGATTAAACTTAGATTCTATTGGACGCTTAAATTTCATAACTTGTAGATTTAACTTCAAAGCACATGATTTTATTTGACTATCCTATACATCACTGCCAGCTTGACTTTTACATCTATCAGTAAAAAAAAGTAACGAATTAGATAGCAGTTAACTTTTTCTTGCGATAGTTTCAGCTCATAAACTCTAAAACGAAGCCAAAAAAGTGATGATGAAAAATGTCAGAGACAGCATGATTAGAATTTTCTTATCACTCACATTAATCACTTCGATCATATTAACACCTAATAGATATCAAATATTCTGAAAGCTCTTGATCTTGGCTACATTTTGGCTATAAAATATTGTGATTTTGTCAGGACTTTCGCGATGCCGTCCTATGTGCATGAGGACACACTCTTGTGCATTTTGCCACTAAAAAATGTTCGTAAAACCTGAATTACAGAGAATAGCCCTATAGGACATTTTGTAGAGAATCAACTGCTCTATAAGATGCACTTAACCCGAACTCTCGTATTTTCTTTTTGATAAAATCTAAAAACACAGGAAGACGAAAAATTCCCTTCTTTTGACAACTTTAAAGAAAAGTATATTCATAGAGTCCAACACATTCTCAGCAAAAGTTTACCAATTTCGATGAAACTTTCAGTGTTTGTAGAGCTTTTAATTCTGAACATTTTGATAAAAAAATGTTTGTTGAAAGGTATCATATTAATGAAGACGATAGGGATATCATGTGAAACCATATAAAACTACTAAAGATTCAACCAGATTTAGCTGTTTTCATCGACAATAATTGCACCATAGAGCAAAACAAATGGCATATTTGGAATCAGCGCGGAAAAATGCATCGATCCACATAGTTTCCAAAAAACAAATTTTTGCTGAAAAATTCAGTCCTAGGGGACCACAGGCAAATATTTGTATAGGAAAATGACCTGAGGGAGGATGCAGCCATTTTTCGATGAGAAAAAGGTTTTTTTGGAAATTATGTGGATCGATTCATTTTTCCGCGCTGATTCCGAATATGCCATTTGTTTTGCTCTATGGTGCAATTATTGTCGATGAAAACAGCTAAATCTGGTTGAATCTTTAGTAGTTTTATATGGTTTCACATGATATCCCTATCGTCTTCATTAATATGATACCTTTCAACAAACATTTTTTTATCAAAATGTTCAGAATTAAAAGCTCTACAAACACTGAAAGTTTCATCGAAATTGGTAAACTTTTGCTGAGAATGTGTTGGTCTCTATGAATATACTTTTCTTTAAAGTTGTCAAAAGAAGGGAATTTTTCGTCTTCCTGTGTTTTTAGATTTTATCAAACAGAAAATGCGAGAGTTCGGGTTAAGTGCATCTTATAGAGCAGTTGATTCTCTACAAAATGTCCTATAGGGCTATTCTCTGTAATTCAGGTTTTACGAACATTTTTTAGTGGCAAAATGCACAAGAGTGTGCCCTCATGCACATAGGACGACATCGCGAAAGTCCTGACAAAATCACAATATTTTATAGCCAAAATGTAGCCAAGATCAAGAGCTTTCAGAATATGTATAATATGTTAATATGATTTGAATTTATGTGTTCAATTCGAATCAATCTTAGAAAAGATATTTTTTCATAAAATCTTAGTTTTGTGATTTTATACAAAAATATGAAAATGTTATGTACGGCATTCTTCTATTTGTTAATGAATTTTAAAAAACTAGTCCGTACGTTTTTCATATCTCACTATGATCTACAAATCCTGAAAGCTTCAGTCAGTTTGGAAATACTCGATGTAAACGTGGTAGAGATCCCATGGAAATACCCATATCTGAGGTCATTTTTCTCTATTCTGTATTTCTCTCATGTTTTGAATTCTGGATATAGTTTATACATATATATATGCGCATTTCTTTCTGTTCTAGTTGGTTCGTTGCGTAGCTTAGTTGCTATGTGTGTGAGAGTGTGATGTATGTATGTGCGTGTGAGGACATTTTTTGATTTGAAAATAAATAAAGGAAAAGATCGAACATCAGACCTCTAATACCACTCATATTATAAATCGATTGTGTATGCGGAAGGTCATGTTTTTGTTTGTAGAATTATGTTGCTTTTTCTAGTTCGATTACAACATCTTTTGAACGATTTGATATAAACGATATTTTCGAAAATTTTTATGATAAGAATAATTGTGGTTTTTTCTTCAAACTATATTCTGTGATAAGATGCAATAGATACAGATAACTCGACAACTATTATATAACTTTGACAAATAGTAGAATATAAGAAGGAAATACTGGATGTGCAGACAGAAATAGTTCTCATTCTTTTTATTTGTTCATTTCACTATCCTAGTCTTGCGATGTTCCATGTAGAGAATAATCAAACATTAGCTTTTTAATGTCTGTTTGATTTTTGATTCGTTGCAAACAATAGTCTGACATTCGATACTAATTACGGCTGATTTCTTCAGTCCATTAATTGATTTGTAAATAATTGACACATTGCTTTTTTATTTTTTCGTTTCCCTCGGTAGATCTCGGTGTCTATGAAAAAAAATCTTTTTTCGGGATCAAAATTAATCAACTCCTCGCATCGTTTATTTCAATTGAGAGGGTCCATATAGATCACATACAATCATTTTTCTGGAAAAAACACTAGGTGACTGACTGATCTTTCTGGAATACCTTTCGAAGTTAAATCATTTGATGTCTAGAACTATGACAGTTCATGCTCATAGATTCAGATGAGCTGCTCAAAAGAACTTTTGAAACAGATCAGTTCCATTGATAAGAACTGATCTGTTCTAACAGTTCTCAAAGATCGCAATTAATAGAAAAGTTTTATAAATCAATCTATGACTTTGGAAGTACTAGAATTAACTTGAAAAGAAAGAATTCTTTCACTCTCAGCTAGGATAATGATATGTTTCAAAGCAGAGTATGTAGCTTATAGAAAGTCTAGAGAACTTTCAATCATTATAAAATTTTCTTGTTTTTTGCTAGGAAAAATTATTTCGATAAAGTCATAGTTATTATCTAAAGATCTGAAATGAAGAAAAACGAAAAAAGACTTCTAAACTTCTGACAAAGCTCGAAATATAGGAAAAATAATTGAAAATGTTTTAGAATTATTGTGACGTATTAGAGGCACTATGAAATACGACAAACAGATCATTTAGATTTTTAAATGAAAAAAAATCAATTCGCTTTTCCCTTCTTGATATTTTCTCTGCTGCAATACACTTTTCTCAGCACTCTAGAAGCTTCCTTTTTTAATTCCACTGAATTTATCGTGAGATAAGTACTTCTTGCATCAATGTATTTTTAAAATCAATAAACTTTGATCAGTTTAGTACTTTGTGCTAAGAGAATGTTTTAAAACTGAACACTGGAAATAATCATCTACGCGAGAATCAGATTTACAGAAGAAAGTCAATGACGAAACAGTTTATTAGTTTTTTCTTTTTGAAATGTGATTATTGTAG